GGGGCTGAAGACAGCAGGCCTCTATGGGGCTAGCCATCCCCATGCTTGAGGTATTCCCTCCCCACCCCAGGCCAAGTGGCAGAACCAGGTCTTCAAAGCTCTATGAAAGGACAGGAACTTGACAGTTCCTGTCAATCCAATTATTACTTCATGGCTGTCACAGTTTACAAACAACCCAAACAATGGCTATGTACATGGGCATCACCAGGCACAGCCCACAGAAATCTAATTGATTTTAACAACATCCATAAAGACATTAAAAATGGAAATGTGCAGGAAAAAAATTCCAAAAGATCTCCAGTCTAAGAAGGAGGTCCCAACCTTGAATTGGTATGCAACGGACAGGTAGTAATGGATTCAAAGCAGATGAAACAAAAATGGCAGGAGTACTGAAACTCTGTCCAGTAGAGATGTCAACATCTAGTTCCGTACAAAATCTAAGATACTTTAGAAGATACTCCCTATTTACAAGAACGTTAGTATTAGAAGATGAAGTTAGATCAGCATTCTGGTTATTACTGAATTAGACAGCTACAGGAATTGATGGAATATCCATAAAAATAGGGAAAGCAATTGAAGAAGAATCAGTAAAGCTTCTAACCAAACTGGGCCAGTAAATCTGGAGAATGATGTAGTGGCTAACTGACTGGAAGAGTTCAGTCTACATACCAATTCAGAGAGAGAGAGAGACTTGGCACATTTTGCAAACTATCACACCTTATCCTTAATTTCACACGATAGCAACATAATGTTTAAGATTATCCAACACAGACTAGGGCCCTAGATGGAAAAAGAAATCCCAGAAGTTCAAGGTGATTTTAGAAAAGTCAGAGATATTGCTCATGCATGCTGGATAACTGAGGAGGCCAAAAAAAAAAATGCTTCACTGATTATAGAAAGGTCTTCAGTTGTGTTGATCAAGTCACACTGGGGAATCTCCTTGGGGAAATGGAAATCTCAGGATATCTCCTTGCTCTCATGTGACTCCTGTACACAGGACAGGGTGAAACATGAGAGCAAGATGAAACATGGTGAATCAGACTGACTCCAGGTTGGCAAAAGAGTGAGACAAAGCTGTATACTCTCTCTTTATTTGTTCAAATTATGTGCTGAATAAATATTGAGGGAAACTGGATTGGATGAAGTTGTAAAATTGGAAGAAGAAATGTTGATAGCCTCTGCTATATATTGAGGGAAACTGGATTGGATGAAGTTGTAAAATTGGAAGAAGAAATGTTGATAGCCTCTGCTATATATTGAGGGAAACTGGATTGGATGAAGTTGTAAAATTGGAAGAAGAAATGTTGATAGCCTCTGCTATAGTGATGACACTAGTCTAATAGCTGAAAATGCAAATTATCTGCAAGCTGTCATAATGTAAGTCAAGGAGTGCAGTAAAAATGGGATTAAGTTTAAAATATAAAAAGACCAGACTAAAGATAACAAGTACAGTAACCAGCCTTAGAACTGACAATGAAGTGCTAAATAGCTTCTGCCTCTTACAATTTACTACCAACAGCAAAGGAACCAGCAGTCAAGAAATATGCCACAGAGTAATACTTAATAGAGTAGCAATGCAGGTCTTGGAAAAGATATTTAGATGCTAGGATGTGTCTGTACCCACAAAGATCAGGATCATGCAGGGAATGGTGTCCCCTGTGATACTCTATGGAAGGAAGGAAAGTTGGACTTTGAAGTAGCAGGGCGGAGAAAGTACTTTTGAACTATGGTGTTGAAGAAGACTCGTAAGAATACCATGGATAGCCAAAAAACCCAAACAAATGGATCATTAAACAAATCAATCCAGAGTATTAACTTGAGATACAAATGATGAGGCTCAAATAACCATATTTGGATACCAGGTGAAGACCTAGTTCCCCTGAGAATTCCATTAAGCAGGGAAAAAAAGGAACAGAAGAGGATGACCAGCAGCAAGATGGACAGACTCAATTTCAATGGTGATAGGTGCACTATTGTGGGACTTTAAGGGCCAGCTTGGGGATAGATTATCCTGGAGAAGATTTATCTGTACAGTCACTAAGAATTGAAACTGACTTGTAGTACTTAATTAATGAAAATCAACTGAGAAATGACAATGGTATGTATGTATGTATTTCTACAGCCATCCATCTCACCACAGGCAACTGTGGGCGGCATACAACAACACTATCTTCTGCATCTCCTGGTCCAGAATCTCTTGAAACTGGTCAAAGGGTCTCCACACCATGGCTTCCACCACTATTCCAGCAGGAGCCATGGATCTAGGAGAAACCCAAGGGTGCACACCAGTTCCTTCAACTCCAGTTCAACTCCAGATAGGACAATAAATGGAACAACCAGGGTACCAGGAGGTTTCTGTAGCAACAGTAACTTCATCTTGCTGGTATTCAGCTGTAGTCTCACAGCTGAATACAGCCTGGATACACAATTAAGAACAATGCTTAACTGACTACTCCATGCCAGGCAGCTGCTAACCGGACATGAATCCTGCCAGAGCAGCTCAAGCCTAACCTTGTTTATATAGTGCTATCATATCTGGCTGCAAAAACCCAGATTACCACTTGATAGAATTATTGGATTTTTGCAGCTCAGATATAGTTGCCAGATATTCAGAAGTAGATCAATGGTCAAAGACCATTTTGTAAATAATGTTCATACTTTAGCTGTGCTCTACCTACTGCAAAATATATTTCAGTAAATGCATTTTAGGCTAATTAATGAAACATTAAAATCCCAATTCTCTGACACTTTGACTTTAGGCAGAGATGCGGATATAATACCGTGTCATATATTCAATGACATATGTTTTCAATTACAGATCCTTACATGATAGGGTTATTATGGTTGGTAGCACAGTCAGCCAGATGTTTAGACTGGATCTGGGATTTTTATCCACCTATTGAGTCCTTCCCAAGGACATTGTTATTATAATGAATGACAAAAGCTTAAATACCTTTAAAGCTGATGATAGGAAGTCTGTCTTCTGTGAAGGCCTGGAAGTGACTCTTGATAAATGTTTGTTGGGAGCTGAGCAAGAAGAACCAAAAAGGCACTTTCTGCAAAAGAACTGTTAGAATTCTCAAATGAGCTAACCTCATTCTGCTGAAACTGAAGATAAAGTTATTATATTGCTGAATCTTTATTTTCAGTAGAAGGCATTTAGAATAGCTTCAAAACTGATCGGGGACTGCTGGTGAGCATCAAGTGAATATCTAGATTCCCCACTTCTCTATCCCACATGAAGGAGGAGTCACAGAGAGGTCCTTCAAGGTCTTTTTCACTGTCAAGGCTCAGAGCTGCTTTACAAGGTATGGCTGTAACTCCCAAACTTTCAGGACTGTTCCCACAGGAAAACGAGGGAAGAATGCATTCTTTGCTGCTTTCATGGCCCAGAGGACAAGCAGTACATGTCCCAGCCAGGCTGTAAAAGTCAACATGGCATCTGCAACTACATGATGGAAGCCTTGCCTCTTCTTATGTGCACTGCACACACAACGTGCAAAAAAGGGATAGGGTTTCAACTGTGTGGCTGCAACCATCATCTTGACTTTCTCGAACTATTAATGCCC